AAATGTCCAACCAGCAGTCAAAAACCATTTCCAAGCATTAGTGCAGGGTTACACAGATGAGTGAGCCAGGCCGGGCGTAGTGAAGTCACCAGAGAGTAATGAAGAAACGACTGCCCCCTGAGTTACAGAGACTGAGAGAGGGGCGTGGATAGCAGTTCTGGGTCCCAAGGCTCAGGTCGCAGGGCAGAGCGAAAGCCGGATGCCCAGCGGGAGCGTCTACTACTACCTAGAAACTCCTCCTTCGATGGGCTTCTTTCTAACTCCTGGGTTCTCCAGTCAAACATGGCAGGAAACCAGCAGCAGCTATAGCCTTGAAGGTGCCACAGAGCCAAACATAAGCAGGATACAGTGAATGAGAGAAGAGACCCTGGCACTTTTGTGCAGACTCACTCAGCTCTTCAAGCATGCAGTTCAACCAACCTGTTAGATAAATAACTGAATCGGCCATTGTGTGAGGAAGAGCCCCATGCATTTTGAAATGGAGTAGTTGCTTATAGGAAACATGGCCCCAAACCTCTGTTTCCAATATTGTAATTCTTTCATAAAACATGGCTTTGGGTTTTGGGAAAAAGACAAAGCCTTTTTTATTCTTTGAGTTATTCTCATAATTCAATTATTAAGATACTGATACCAGCAGTTGGGCAGATAAGAAATACCGATTGCGCAAGAAAACATGAAAAGGAAAACATAGCAATGTTATTGTATAGAATGGACAGATGAGGCATAAATCTAAGCTCCACAGGGGATTCCCAGTCCTCCCGCTGGCCAGTAGCTTTAGCTTCGTCTACAAATCCTGTCTTTAGGGAGCCCTGTCAAGTTGCACAGTTTGTTTTTCAGCGAGTTTGGTCTTGTTCAGCACAGGTGAGCTGTTTGGAAGCAGGCAAGTGGCCTCAAGGGCCATTTATCCCAGCAGGAGCTAGGAACCTGTTTTTCAGTTCTATTGGGTATACTAATTTTTATTTTTACTTATGCTAGTGGACTCATCCAGCTTAACAAGCAGATGTATGAAGTGATGCATGGAAGAATACAACACTCTAGGGCATCATAAGCACAGAAACGCCTGGATTCACGTCTAGCAGTTTTGATGGACATATTGCGTTGGCATGTAGAAAACATACAATCTCTCTTCTAGGTCTTCCCTTTTGTACTTGTTACCTTGATTCCTAGTTGGTAGAATTTCTAGTCCTGTGGCTTCTGTCCCTTTTAGTTCTTACTCCCATTTTTAAACTTGCATTCTTAAAGCACAAATCATATTAGGTTGCCTGGATCCTAAGGAATTTCTGGGTTAGCCCTGTTAGAATTGATGAAACCAGCAGCTATCTACCTAGTCAGTTAGTCCTACAGACCCCTGCATCAAGCCCTGAACCAGGATTTCTGGAAAGTGGAGCCTGGACATAGGTCCTCTTTCCCCTTTGTAAACCAGGAAAACCAAAGACATTCAGGCACTGCCTAATAGAGGCCCTGTTTCCAAGTGTAATTTTGGGAGAGGGTGCTGAGGTAAGTAACTTAGGTGAAGGCATCCTCCTTACATCTCTAACAGGTTCCCCAACCCTCTTGGAAAGCCATACTACTATCATAAGAATACTTAAACTCTTTGCCTTTTTCCCTGAGCTGATGGTAAAAAGCGATGGAAGTAGATCTCCCAGTGCCTTAGCAGGAACCAGTCATTCTGAAGCCACATTAGTTTTCAGAGTCCTTTGCTGCCATAAAATTAAATTATTAAGTTTTACTTAATAATGTCCTGATGTATTAGTCAAAAATGGTGAATTTTAGTAAATTGTGATGACTTGTAAAGGCTCTTTTTAAACCTCATTTAATGAAACAAAAAATACCCACAAGGCACCTCTGCTGGGACTTCCTTGAGGTCAGTTATCCTGGGGGGAGCATTTATGCAATCTAACTTTTGTAACCCGCTCGCCACTTCTTTGAGCATAATTTACTTGAAAGAACAATGGACAGATGATGGTGATTTCTGGATATTTGGTACACATTTCCTGCAAAATTCAAACTCTTCTTGCCTTATCGATGAGATGAAGAGCATCTGCTGTCTGCTGGCATTGCTCTCGCCATCGGTGTGGTGTCGCTCCTGTCCTTTGTGCAAGGACTCCCAGTTCCTTTAAATGTTCTTTCTGGCCTTTTCTCTCCTTTTGAAATGTCCATTGTATGTATGTTGCATGCTTGATGGCTTCCTGTATTTCTTCAAAACTCAGTTCATTCTTCTATATTATTTTCTATTTCATTTTCTGATACTGAATAATCTCAGTTGTCCATCTCCAAGTTCATGAATTCTTCATTCTACTTAAGCTTGCTGTTGGGCTTTTTATGACATCCTCATTTTTGGTCACCGTAATGGTCAACTTCAGAATTTGTATTTTTTAAAAATTATTTCAATGTGTTTATTAAAACTCTATTCCTATACTTCAGCCTTTCAGATATGGTTTACTCCAGTTCTTGGAACATATTGTAAGAAGAGATTTAAAATCTTTGGCAAGTCTAGGTGAAATTTCTATTGACAGTTTTTTTTTAAAGATTTATTTATTTTTCATTGGAAAGTCAAATTTACAGATAGAAGGAGAGACAGAAAGATCTTCTGTCCACTGATTCACTCCCCATGCGGCCACAATGGCCAGAGCTGAACCAATCTGAAGCCAGGAGCGTCTTCTAGATCTCCCACACAGGTGCAGGGTCCCAAGGCTTTGGGCTGTCCTCCACTGCTTTCCCAGGCCACAAGCATGGAGCTGGAAGGGAAGCAGGACAGCTGGGACACAAACTGGCGCCCATAGGAGACCCTGGCACATGCAAGGTGAGAACTTCAGCCACTAGACTACTGCACTGGGCCCTGTCTACAGTTTTTGTCCTGCTCTATGGTCACACTTTTCCTCTTTACCAGTGTTACTACTTTCTTGGTTGGAAACCGAACATTTAAAATTTTGTTTAATACAAATAAATATAAATCTCTAGAAATGAGATTCTCTCCTTTTTCTCAGACTTAATGCTGTTTGCTTATTGAGTGACTTCTGAGTCATTTTTTAAAGGGCTTTTAACAACATATATTAATTTATTTCACAGAAAAACGAGAGTGGGGTGGGCAGGGGGAGAATTTTCCTTTTACTGATCTGTTATCAAATGGCCTCAACAGCTGGAGCTGGGCCAGTCTAAAGCCAGGAACCAGGAGTTGCTCCCTGGCCTTGCACGTGGGTGCAGGGGCCCAAGGTCTTGGGTCATTCTCCAATGCTTTACCATGTCATTAGTAGGAGCTGAACTGGAAGTGGAGCAACCTGGACTTGAACTGGAATCCCCATGGGATTCTGGCGCTTCAGAGGATTAGCTTGCTACATCACTGCATCAGTTCCTAAGCTAATTCTTTAAAACTTACACTCCTTCTTACCTATGGCCACTGAAGCTTCCACTGAATTGGCTTTGTGGTCAGATAGTGGTTATTTTCTTAGATGCCTGGAATCAAAATTTCCCAGTTTGTTGAGGGACTATGGGCGCATGTCAGTGCATTCAGAATTCATCATTCAGTTAGCCAACAGCTCTGCCCCAGCCTTCACTTCCTGCTAGTGGAAAGTCAGTTTTCATCAGAAGAGCTCAGGGAGTTTTTTGAAAGCAGATTATCACGTCCTTTACCCAGGGATTCTGATTAGAGAAGTTTCGACAGAGCTCTCTGGCCGTTCTCTGCAGGCTTCCTGGGATGCTGCGGCAGCTGGATCTAGCATTTCTGTCTTCCTACACAAACAAAAGTAGCAGAGGGTATCTGCTCTGCAAAGCCCCTGCACCTTGATTTGTCAGAGGAACCTCAGGATGACTTTATGAAACAGACAAGAGCAGGTGATGTTCCCCCAGAAAACTGCCTTCCATTCCATTCTTCCTGTGCTGTGAGCTGAGGTCAAAACAGACATCAGCTACAGATCAGGTTGGGCCAACCTCAGCCACCCCAAGTGGCTTCCACGGGGGAGCCGGGTGCCCAGCTCAACTGGACATCAAGGATTTAGCTGTGACTTCTGAAGCACCCAGTGACTCTGGGCTTATGAACATCTACAGGCTCTGGGATCAAAGGGCTCTTACTCCCCACCTCTGTTTCCCCAGTGAGGAAGGGAAGGGTAGGGAAGGCTGTTCTTATATTCCTGAGTAGATATCTGTGCATTACCCATGGTTAGCTGATGAAGATCTAGGCATTACATCTCAGTCCAAGCCAGACGCACAGCTCCTGCCTCCTGAAAATGACTGTTGACCTCTGAGTTCAATGATTCCCAGAGTGAGAAAAGCGGGAAAGAGGGAAACCTACCCAGCAAGTGTAGCATGTTTTTGTTAGGACTGTGGAATCTGGGGTTCTGCTTTGGGTTCTCTGTGACTTCAGTCAGTGGAGGAGGAGCCATAGGTTGTCCTGAACAGGCAGAGCAGGCTTTATCTGATCCAGGATCCTGTCCCTTCCATGCTGGACCAAAGCCAAACACCTGCCCTGGTCGGTGTCGGTCAGGACGGCCAGGGGACAGGAATTTCCAGCCAGGAGGGATCACGCCTGGGCTTTAGACCTTCCAGGCAAGTTAAATTAAAGAGGAAATGACACTGTCCTCTGGACACATAATCCTAGTGTGCTATTCTCTTTACATTCCCCTGGCAAGAGCCACACCTTTTTAGTATGGTCTGCACAAGGACTGTGGCTCAAGTTGTTCCTTTGTTCCAAAGTAGGGTATCTTAGCAGAAAATATAATGCCTCACTCCAAAACATCATGCCTTCTCAAATTGGCATAACATAAAGATGACTTAAAATGACAGAAGAAACCAAAATACAAACACATTTCCCCTACTCATCCAAATACAGCTGAGCACTGCCAGTTTGCAAGAAGGTTGTGGAAAGCTACAAGGAGGAAGGCGGGCTTCCCAAGGCACTTTCCACTGTGGTCTCAGTTGGCACAGCCCTTTTCTTGTGCAGCGAAAGTGCTCATCATCATTGCCTGCATGCATGGCCAACTCACCTGTGTGCCCTTCTCCCTCAGCTGTACGGCGGACGATGCTGCTGTCTACCAGGTCTCGGCTAAGAACTGCTTCGGCATGATCTGCTGCTCCGCTTCTGTCGAGGTCCAGTGTGTGGCAGAGAAGGCCCAAGTTTCTTCTAATCTGGAAAATGCCAGGGACGCAGGTTGGGGACAAGACTCGGGGACCTGCAAAGAGCCAGGGGCAGATCAGACTGACGGGGAAGAGTATTTTTGGGAGGAAGGAGGAAGCAGCTCCCGGGGTACGCCCTCACCCACTGATTCCTCCCCCGATGAACTCAGCTGTCCCCACTCACTCCAGCTATGGGCCGCTGAGGACACTCAAGCATCCAGTTCTGGAACTTTCCCCGATCTTAAAGACACAAGGCAATGCAAGGAGGCTAACAATGCCAGTGACCCGGAGAGCTTGGTAGATGGGGTCTTTTTTCCTGCTTCAACAAATACTCCTGAAAAACAAGAAGTGTGTTGCTGCCAGGCAAGGCATTCCAGAGGAACAGAGGCGCTGTGTAGCAAGCTCCATACCGATGGCCCTGCTGAGGAAGACTCGTCCTCAGGTCTGCAGCAGCCCAGGGCACTCAAATACATCAGCTGCAGCCTGCCGCTGTCGGAGGTCATTGCAGGTCTTGACCCAAGTGCTAGTGCCTCCGGCCCCGTGCAACTCAACCCGCAAGCTTCCAGCGAGGATTCTGACAGTGACTATGAACTCTGCCCAGAGATAACCCTAACCTGCACGGAGGAGTTTTCAGATGATGACCTGGAGTATCTGGAATGTTCCGATGTTATGACAGATTACTCTAATGCAGTTTGGCAAAGGAAGGTGCAGGGGACGGAGTGTGTTTTTTTATTAGAAAGCGATGACGAAGAGGTGGAATTCAGTGAGCATGGCCTGGGTGGGCGTGAGCCTTTCCCTAATGTATTGGGTTGTGGGCCTCGGGTGTCAGGTGACATCGGGCCTATGGATGCCACCCCTGGCTTCTGTGCTCATCACTCACAAGCCCAAGGAGTGGGGACAAGAAGCAGCGGCGCCTCCAGGCCCAGTCCCCCAGCGCTGGGACCTCACCCAGCGGCGCTGTCCCTGCTGCTGGAACAGGGGAGCACTCCAGCACCCCCTGCAGCTCCTGAAAATGAGTATACAAGAATTCAAGGGGAAACCAGAGACAGTCCTGAAGCAGAAGAGGAGCTGGCCAGCGACAGACTGCTAACCACGGAGCCTGCAGCGGCGGAGATGGAGCCCGGGTCCTGGACTAGGGGGCCGGGGGTGATGCAGTGCTCAGGGCCCATGGCTGAGCCAAGTGTTGGGGAAAAGGACTCGGAGGGCAAGAGGGGCTCTCAGAAACCTCCCAGGATGAGGCAGCTGGGGGCAAAGGGCAGGAACAGGAAGCTGAGTGCCAACCTGCCAGTAGCCTCACCAAAGCTGCTTCTTCCACAGCAGGCTGTGGAGCACCCACCCATCTGGAGTACCGTCAGAGGAACCCCCCACACCAGGGCAGGCACTGCTGATGGGACGGCCCACATTCGTGCAGGAGAACATGCCAGCCGGGCCCAGGCAGAGCACGATGCAAAACGCCTTCCTACACCAGCAGTCTCACTCCCGCAAGGAGCGGATGCAAGCCTGGTAGGAGAAGAACTGTGGGGGGATAACCCATTTGCAACAAGCCAGGTTCCAGTCCACGACGACCCTCTTCAGGTAAGGCAACCAGCTGTGCAAGTCACAATGCAAAACGTGTGTGTGTGTGTGTGTGTGTGTGTGTGTGTTCCCTTGCGGCACAGCCACGGTGGCCGTGCCATCGTGTAAATCAGAGTGAGACTCCCAAGAGCAGCAGAGGACTTGTGAATGACAGCTACTGCTGCTAGGAAGGAAATCTGGTTTCGTAAAAAGACCCAGATAAACCCTAAGCCATCCTAATTATAGCAAGAGGCTGACAGAAGTGAGAGGCACTAATGGGCTTCTGGACAGCTGGAAAAAGAAATCTGATCTTTTGTCTACTGCATGCATTTCTCTAGGCAATGGCACTATGCAGGTTTCTCCAGCAGACGTTTTGGGTATAGCCTCTGAAGGAGGAAAAAACATCCTTTAGAATCATTTTGGGGGTTTACTTGGAAGATGGAAAGTGTTGGCTTTTGTCAGAACTCAATGTGCAAATGAAAGATTTCAATGTGTCCCAAAGACTTGCAGAATTCTCTTGAGAATATTGTGAAAGGCAGACAAAGTAGCATTTGCTATGCTGGTGGACTGTACATGATTGAACATGTTTTTATTTTGTGTTTCTTAGACGATAAGGTATGAAAGATGCTTTACAGGACACCCACCAGGAAGGAAAATTATTTTACTCTAATATTGACTTGGGTATATTTTAGAGAGGTCAAATTACATTCATGGCAATAGTTAACACACAAAGGCAGTTATCACTGAGTTAAAAAAAAACACTTTTTTTTTAAAGTTTTAAATGGGCTTTGGACTGATACTATACTATGGTTAATGTTGACCTTTCTAAGCAAGTGCCTTTTAAATGCCATTAGTTACTTATGACTGCTTATGAAGGACTATACTATCATAATATGGGGAAAAGCAGTTGGGGAGGGGGTAGGGAAATTCCAGACACTATGGAATTGTACCACAAAATTCAAAATTTAAAAAAAGAAAAAAGTCATCATTTATTTTTAATGTGATTTGTTTGCCTCTGTTCTCAATTTTGGGCTAAAAACTTGGTATTATCTTGATATAAAGTCTCCTAGATGCCAAAGAAAATTAGAGTCCCAAAATCAAGGGCACTGACTTCTCTGTGAAACAGTGAAAAATCAATATATAGTGATTTCCAAAATAAGCAATTGGAGGATCTCCAAATCTGAGCCAGTGTTGAGCACACTCTCTGACCAGCTTCTCCATTAGCCGGGGAAAAGTTGCATTTCTACTTTGTTTTTTACAGGAAGGTCAAACTGAAGGGCTTGGTCTCAGTTCTTCAACCCGTATACCACCGAGCAGCTCCCGCACAGAGAGCTTGCAGGTTCATATTCAAGATCACTTTACAGAGCCGGCTTCTCCACATACTCACACAATACAGTGACAATGTTAATTTTTTTGTAATGCCAGGAAACAGACCATTTTCTTTTCTATTCGTAAAATGTTTTTCTAGTTCACCTAGGCACCGTCTGACAATTGTTTATTTATTTAGAATGTTTTACTGGGCAAATCAATTTTCCTATAAAAGGCTTAAGAGGTGGGGCGGGATTTACTGGTCCAAGTGAGAGTAGAAAAGGGGCAGGGCTACTGACAATGTGTTTTAGACCCACCATTAGATCTGGCCAAACAAAGGAGCCCCGTTTCCATGCTCAGCTTGTCCCCTAAACTGAATTTTGAGATGGAGTGCTTTAGTGTCCATCAGCCTTACTTGATCACCAGCATTGATGCTAAATAACTGGGCTGTGTTGGGGTCAACGTCACCCAGTTGTATGCACCCTGTTTAATTCTTGAGCAGGTTTTTTTTTTTTTTTTTTTTTTTTTTGCTTACCCAGGTGCACCTGCATGATTATGTATAGGTATGATCCAATAAGTTTATGAAAATGAAAAATACAAGTTAATTTTGGTGCCCCAAATTTGGAAATCCATTTACACATGGGGTCTTCAGAAAGTCTCTAGAAAATGCATGTTGAGGGTTTCAAAAACATGTTGGGCAAAATAGACTTTGGATTCTGCTCGTCCCTGAATTCCCTGCAGAAAACCCTTACCTCGCCACCACACCAGCTAACAGCTCCAGGTGTGACCGATGCTGTGGGGTGTGATTAAAGCTCTGATCTCAGAACCAGGCTCCTTGTTGTTTCACAAGCAAACCCAAGAGCTGGCATTTCCTGCAGGGAGAAGAGACTGTGGACACCTGGCTATGGTCACTAGAGTTGATCTCTCACTCAAAAGACAACCTCTAACTCAAACAGGAGGTGGGTAGTTAAAAGCAATTCTGAGCCCGTGGCATTTATTTTGCTTTGACTAAAATAGGAAGACTTTCTCACAAAGACTCACATATTGGAGGACATCAATTTTCTTACCCAAGCAAAAAGTTTCCATTTAATTGTAAGAGATCTCTATATTTCCTAGCTATAAAGTGCAGCCAAATGTAAAGTAAATGACTAAACATCATTGCCAGTGTGATACAGAAGCACTGGTGGGTCCTTGGGAGCTAAATTCAGCTTTGCAATACTGTTTATAAAAGACTGATCAATCTTTTCATGACTGAGTCCAAAGGCATTTCAATATTTGTTTCTGACCCTCAAGGCTTGCCATGGTCAAGAATCCTGCATTGGGACTAACAATAAATTCATGCACTCTTAAATTTGTCTCATCCACTTACCTTCAGGACGTTTGGAGAGACATTGACCAGGAGCTTATCTTTAAATATTTTATCTTCATCTGTATATTAGTTTTAGCATTCTGAGAAAATTCCATCTCTCTACTTTCCTGTCTTGCAAACAGGGTTAGATGATAGACTATCTCCAGGTGAATTACTCTGTCTTCCTTTCTCTCTCTTACATTCAAGACCATCTTGTTAGGATTTGTCTTGAAATAGTACTCACCCAGGCTAGGACTGGAAAGCCCCCAGTTTCCCTACATTTATGGAAGATTATGAAGCTAATCCCAGTTAGGGAGTGGAAAATAGAGAGGGTACCCCAGGCTAACTTGAGTCATCTTCACGGGTCATACTGCCAATGTTTCATCTTGGTTCCTGATCCAACTCAGTGGCTAGTCCTGACAACCTGCCCATCTTGGGTTTCTTTTCCCAACCACACTGTGGGTAAGATCATCTTCAGTCAGAAATCCAAAGAGCTGTGTCTCCCGCATGCCCAGCTGCACAGCTTCACCCCTAAGGTTTGCATTCTGTTTTGGGGGCATGGGATCATCAGTGTACACTGTGGAAATGTATTCTTAGGTCCTAGTAGTTAATAATCTTCCTGATCAGGCAACACCACTGTGAGCCCTGTGATTGGAGGGCATCTGTTCCTTGACATATGCCAAGCCCCTGAAATAGGGCCAGCCACACAATAGGCACTCAATTATAGGGCTAAATATGTAGCTGCAGTGTGTGAGTGCAGACTGAATATCCTTGATTTGAAATGCTTGGGACATTTGGGGATTTTGTAATATTTGCATATACTCAATGAGACAGCCAGGGAGGGGACCCGTTTTCCAGCCCCAATTTCTTCATATGCTCACCAGCATGTGATGTTACAATTTTACTCTAGCCATTTTGGTATTCATTTAGTGATATCCATCACAGTTTTCATTTGCATTTTCCTAACCAGCAGTGATGTTGAGCATTCCTTCACGTGCTTATTAACCAATTACATATCTTCTTTGACAAAGTATCTGTTTAATCCATTTTCTAATTAGAGTTCTTAGTATGGTTAAGTTTTGATTTTTATTGATAGTAATATTCTAATCCTTTGTGTATCTGCAAAAATTTCCTCCCTATTGTTGCCTTTTTATTCCAATGGGACTTTCATGGAACAAAAGTTTTCAAATTTGATGAAGTTCTTTTTATCGATTTGTTCCTTTAGGAAGATATTCTGTTTGTTTGTTTCCCTGCAAGTTTTGTAGCCTTGTGTTGTACATTTAAGCTGGTTTTAAGTTTTTACAGAGTGAGATTTAACCTGAGGAGTTTTTGTTTTGTTTTTGCCTACGGATGTTTAATTTTTCCAATAACATTTATTGTTAGTTTTTTTAAGCCTGTTTTAAAAAGAATACTTAGCATATTGCCAAGGACCAGTAAAAATCCATAAGATAGTAACATCTCATTCCTTTTGTGAGGTGAGACCAAAGCTTATCCTGCTAGGGATTTTACTAGAATAACATCAACTTCATGGCAAAACACTGGGTTTAGTTGGGAAGAGTGGTCTAGATGAACTTGCCACACTGACTAGATTCAGAGTCCATTTGAACTAGAGGTCAGAGAAGCCAAGAGCATTTTGGTTTCTAAGGAGCAGCTAATAGGACTATGTGTTATTTATAAAGATGGGGACCGTGTAGTTGTACCACCTTTCTCACCTTTGCCTGAATCCTGAGGATTGACTGATTTAAACAAAAAGCCAAAGGCTAAGAGAGACAGTGAGCAAGAAACCTGGAAGTCCAAGTTCAGCTTGAGGGTGAACACACCTCCTAAGCTGGCCACCTGCCATTCTAGGCCACTAGTTCCTGCTTATATTTGAACCAATTGACCTCTTCTGGGCTAACATTATTTGAGCTGGTGTGGTAGAAACTCCTTCTAAAGCTAAATTCAGCCTAACTGTTGGGCAGGCAATGCAAAACAGCTGTGTGGAAATCCACACGGCCATGTAGTAACAGGAATGACACACGTGGGAAAATATACATAAACTTTCTTGTAATACCGTTTTCTTATGTGTGCCAGAACAACCTGAGATCTTGAATTTGTCTAAATAATAAAGTGTGTCTACCCAACCTGGAGATTGTTCAAATAAGTGACTCCAGAGAGCTGAAGGGCTGGATCTCTCCCGAAAATGCGACGGGTAAAGAAGTTTCCCATTGCTCATCTCTCAGATTGTGGCAGTCACACTTCTTGTCAGCACCACTCTATGGCTGACCCAGAGAGTAACACAAACATTTGTTTTGTTTTTCATCACAAAGCCTGCTGGGCCACTTCTGCCAAATGCCCACTAACTGTCCCAGATCCACACGATCCCTTAAT